TACATAAGCCTTGATTTTTCATTTCACTTCTAGTTGAATGCAGAAACCTAACAGGTTTTACATTTACAAACTTTTTTTTTTTTTTTGTGGACAAGGAAGGCTTTGACTCTCATTCCTGACAGCGATTTACCTGATACATGGTACTACTTTCATAATGTACGCTTTTCTTTGAGAAAAAAAACATGTAACAAATTGTCTTTACATCTTGGCACCTTGTAAAGTTTTTTTTTTTTTTTATACAAAAGTTCAATAGTTTGACACTCCCCATTATTAATCACTACTTCACTGATAAACTTTGAAAGTGTGACCCTGGAATTCATCATGCAAAATATTTACTGCAGCAGGAGAAAAACATTTTTTTTTTAAACAACTTTTTTTTTTTTTTTCCTTTCAAATATATGAACTTTGTTTAAGACAGCCAGAAAAGGCAGTGGTAAGATAACAGAAGGGGTGGGAAAGTATCAAAAAAAACCAGCTTAAACACAAAAACTGTACAAAAATGCTTCGATCAATGATAACAGGAGAAAAAAAAAAAATCTGTCAACTATGTTACAATTTTAAAAGCTGAAAAAAAAGTCAGGGATTTTCTCCCACATGTCAGCAAATGTCATCCAATATTCTTAAAGCAAGGATAACTAAATAAAATACATGTGCAGCGTATTCTGCAATTCCATTACATACAGTAGTTTTTTTTTTTTTCAAAGCTATTTTTTTAGTATAGTTAATATAAAGCAGTTGCACAAAAAGCAAAAGGTGTTTTGACAAACAGGTCTGCATTTATTCCTTTTGAGGAACGATATCTAAAAAAAGGACCTTTCCACCTTTTCCTCCCTCCCCACCCTCCCCCCAAAAGACAAAGGCTCACACAGACACAGTGGGATATATATGTACAACATAATAAACCCCTCCCTAAAGAAGCAACTGTATATCCAAAGGGATACAGAATCAGAATTGTAAAAATCATAGTGAAGTTTGCTCGATGTAAAGCCTGAGATTTTCAGTTGGTTCTTCTGCAAGGCTGCGACACCTGCCAGATATGTTAAAATCTAATTTTTTATTTCTTTTTCTCTTTTTTTATTTTTTTTATTTTTGCTACAGTCTTTAGACTAAGCATGCAAGACATACAACTAAGTGCAACTGAGTGAAATGTATTTTTTATTTACTCATTCCCTAACAGTTTGGACTGAGGTATGCGTACTAACAGTTTCTCATGCTGTTATCTTTACTCATGTCTAGCTACACATGCTGAGAATGAACTAATCTACCAGATTTTTATCCCCCTTCTGAATACCGAACTAACCAGCAAACCACTCAGTTTAGAAGCACAGGGCTCAATTCTCATGATCCCCATCTGGCTACCGCCGGCACGTCACGAAGCTGCCTGGATATAATTTAAACGAAAAAAAAAATGTTTCAAATGACCACAGACTGCCCTTTTTTTTCTTTTCTTTTTTTTTTGTCTTTTGAAACAGAAAGCAGAGTTGAGTTTTATAAAAGTAACTGCCAATAAAATTTCTTGTACCAAAGCTCGTGAGTGGACAGGAGTGTTATTTCCTTATGAAAAATGCTGACCAAAAACTAAACAAAACTGAGCAAACGTGCCAAGATCAACCCAAATTAAAGCAGTCATCCTAGCACAGTCCCAAAACAGAAGTGGCACACAATCTGTAGAACCAAAGACCAAAAGAATTTTTTTTTCTTTTAATTCTAGAAATACTATTATGTGGTCCAGTTAAATTGTGGGAGCTTTTCTGTTCTCTTCTGTATTTTATTAAACTGTCTCCTTTATCTGATACTCTAATTTTCCGCGAAATAACTGAGTCTTTGCTTTCTCCAGCTCCCTTCTCACAGCTCCACCAGTAACACTGATTCCTAGTTTTAGCCTCAAAAGCTCTCCTCGATTCCTCTTTTACAGACTTTCGTTTTGGTCACTGTAAAGAATTGCAAATAAAAAGTAACAACTTTGGTTCAGACATCTACTTGGCCTTCTAAATTTTCTAGAATAAAGGAGCAGTTTCCCTCTCAGGTTAGCAATAGCCCACATCTTGTCATTTCCCTCTAAATTCTTCAACCTCCTTTGATCAACAATAAGAGGATATTTGGCTTCATAAGATAAAGCATATAACAGAGAACATAATTTACCTTTGTGTAATATCTTTGGTAATTTTAGGAAAAAAAAAAAAGGTACAAAGAAGAATATAAATTAAGCTCTGAAAGGCTTTTTGAAAAAATAAAAAAGCTACAGTCCTACATAAATAAATGAGTGACGGAAAAGTGGTTGCAGAATGAAAATGCTTAGGTGTTTGGTGACTGAGGTTTACTGACCTATCGCAACGAATTTTGTATGTCGTGTTTGCTTTGAAGAGCCTTGCCAGTTTTGCCTAACAAGCCCCGGCGCGAATTCTCTCCTAGATCTCCTGTCTCCTACGGCGAGGTTTCCATACTGGCTGGTGTAATATTGCATAACAATCTTAACTGCAGTACTGGATTTGCACAGCTGAAAATTAACACTTTAGCATTAGTGGGGCTCCGTCCTTATTAACTCCCGTAACAAGTTCAATCTGAAATCTAATTTGTATTCAAACAGATTAATGCCACCAAGCAATCCTGAACTGATGTTTAACCGTGAAACATCACCACGTACAATAACAATTTAATGAAGTCATCTTTCCAACCACTATTTGCAAATGCAAATGCAAAAAGAAAAAAAAATAAAAAAATTGTAATAATAAATGTATAGGTGCCCATCTCGGTAATCTTCGATATTCCAGAAAGATTTGCTGACCCATCAGAACTCGTGTTAAACAACCGAGAACCTGCCACTGTACTATTCATCCTCTAACAAAAGTGAACTCTGTTGGTGCTGCATATGTTTCTTTGTGCTGTTCCATTTTGTGGCATTTGCTAATATTCACCGTTGCTGCCAAAAAAAAAAAAAAAATCAAAAAAACCCAAACAACAAAAAATTATATATTAAAAAATACTGCTTTGTGGAATGAATCTGTGTTGCTTCCTACAGTGTTTCTATGTTCATCTGTCATTCATTCTCATTCTTGCAGTACTTCGTTCCTCTCTCTCCGTTGGACAACCCTTCCACATGTATAGTGCAGCATTTGGGACCTTTTCGAAAAACAACAACAAAAAAAAAGGAGACACCGAAATGGAATGTTTTCCATAGCTAAAGAAAACATGGTGGCATCTGAAGGAAACTGGAATGAATGACAGAAAAAACTACAAACAATTCAATGACATTCAGCTTCGTATAATAAAAACACCTATTAACATTCATCACAAAGTACAGAAAACGTTGAAGCCTCCGAGAGGCCCTGGGCCCAGATGAGGCCTGAGGTCAGAACTTAAAATGGTAGAGGAGAAGCGGGGCGGGGGAATAAAAGCAATACATTAAAAAGTTTGGGATAATTTTTTCTTTTAACCCCTCCCCGATATACACGCTCACACGCACACACACATATCCACACACGTGCACACACAGGCCTTCCCCATCCCAAATGGAAGCAAAAAAAAAAAGAAAAAAAAAGAAAAAAAAGAAAAAAACCAACCAAAAAACAAGAAAAAAAATGGAGTAAAGGCAGTGATAATCAACATGCAGTACTGTGCAAATATGTTGTCCATTGGAATCCTTAAAATCTGGGCAAAGACTTGATCTGCAGTTCAGGTGTACATGCTCAGTTTGATGTCCTCAAGTGTCCAAAATTGGCAGGACCTGCAGTCCACAGCTGGCTGCTAAATGCAAGTGAATCAGTTTAGCAAATTTACAACACTGATGTTGACTGTAAGAGAGGAAAATCCCAAGTACCAAACAAGTCCATCCAATGCACAGAGTACAAATTCCTTTTTTCAACAAAAAGTAGAAAAATCAAAAATACTCCCAAATGGGATACTTGATGGCACTAAGAGTTAACATATTTCATAGTTGTCAAAGTGGACTGAGAATCCTCCAGACTGTACAATAATGGAGAGATTTCACAGCTAAGTTTGACGTGTTCTTCCAATCTTCATTCTCAGGATAACGATGTCAGACATACTCATTCTATGTCCTCATTTACAGGTTCATCTTCATAATCTCTGTCGTGATCGAAATCTGGACTGTGGTTGGCTGTTGTCACTAAGGATAGCGGGCCTTCATTTTCATCTGGATCTAATGGTTCTTCTTTGACATGCACGGGGTGCCTGGAAAAACGAAAACACGGTCAGTTGGCAAGTTGATCGTTAAAACCCAGTTCCGACAGCTTGGATGGTTTGGGAAAGGCGAGGCGCTTTGGGCGTGCGGACCCGGTGTGCCAAGCCTAGGAGCTCCAGGTCATCGAGAAGACCCTCAACTTCTGCGCCAGCCACCGAAGCCAAGGGAAGGCTGCGCCGGGCAGGCGTTGCTCAGCTTCCCCAGGAAAACACTCTGGGAGGAGCACCTCGAGAGGGTTTCCGTCTCGGGATCGAGAGAAAACGCTCTCAGCTGACATATTAAGTTGATTAATACAATCTTTGGATAAATAAGCGGAATAAGCATCCGAACGGCAAAGCAGCAGTTTGTCAGCCCGCCGAGCCGGCGGAGGCTGGGCTAATCATCGCTCGCTGTGTGTGCAGCGTCTCTCGTTAACATGCAGAACCTGTGAGACAACTCTCCAGAGGACGACCCCAAGTGAGGTTCTATCATTAATCAACTTCAAGCAAACACAGCAAAGAGACACCATGATACATGCTTTAAACTCCAAATTAATGCATATTTTTACAAACTGTCAATAAGGGAAGAAAAGCCCTGCCAGGAAACACAAACAGAGAGGAAAAGGCTCGCTCAACACAACAATATGATAAGAAAGCACAGTCCTAACGAGAATAATAACACTGTCAGCTGTAAACAAGGCAGAACATGATCCCCAGCTCATGGTGGGCACAAGGATGTACTAAAGAGATGAGATCTGCCAAATTTCTCATTACGGCGTAGCACATGAATAACCCGCAGGGGAACGGGGTTTGGTCATTCAAAACAGGTATGATAACAATTGAAAAATGTTGTTCGTAAATCATATTTACAACAAATCCTATACAAATACAAATTACCTTTTTTTTTGTTCGGCAGCTTTTGAAATGTAAAATAGCCATGTGAGTCAATACTGTCTTGTTGGTGGGGACTTTATAGGAAAGTAGGATTTTATTGACATTACCAAGTATTAATAATGCGACACAGCAATGGAGACCCTGTTTGCTTCCTAAATAATTGATGTTGTAGGCAATCCCTTAAAATAAAGTGTTAATGAGTTCAAGTCCCACTCTGTCTCTCATTGAGTTGATATCCACCTCCTAGAGTCTTGTTTTTCCTCCGTGCGGGCTGATTTAACCCTTTCACATAGGCTACGTGAAAACATAACCCAAAGTGCAAACCTTCATTTGTAAGAACTTTTTCTCTCCTTGTGCAGCTTTGCTTTAAAATGAATGATTTAAAATAGCTGCATTTTGGTTTATGTTTTGTGTGGATAGCAATGACAATACCGTCTGTACTCCACTGCACTGACAGACAGGAAGAATAAATCATCGAAGAGGGAAAATGTACTCGGTAGCCACGTACAAGCCAAAGGTAACCCTGCCTATTTGAAGTGACCAGGGTGAACCAGCTGCACGCTTGTATAGTGGGCAAAAGCTGTATCGCACCCTATTTATTTATTTCGGCTTGAGCCTGCGTCAGTTTAGGAAGCGTCTAACTTGCTGACTACACACATTTCTAATGTGGGCTGTGAATGCCTTTCAAGTCCCTGCATATTTCAACTTTTTGAGTTGTAAGGTGCTAGATCAATACTTAAGTACTAACTGCACCTTCCAACCCATCCGACAAACGAACGGTGGGGAGAAGTGATGCAGTACCCACGCACGCGCACCTTTCCCCTTCAAATTCACTAATACGTCTCCTATCAACACATCCCTGGGAGCAAAGAGGTTCCTCTGCACGTTGTGTAATTTTTGCAAGAGGTGTGAACGTGCTCACCGTCCCAGCGGCTCGCGGCCCTAGTGAACATAAAACCATGATGATTATTTGCAACTAGAAAAACTTATATTATGAATAGGCTGTGGGGCCCCTCACTTGAGAGAAAACATGAAATGAAAAACAGAAGAAAAAGGGGGAAAGAGAGAGAGGCTACACATAGGAACGATAAAGCGTGTGCTACTCGGCCTTTATGGCGGGTGATCTTTTCTACTGCTGGTTTAATTTAAAAGTCTTGCTTGTTGGCTTTCTCGTTTTGATGCTGCTGCTGGGCTTATTTTTTTTATATATATTTTATTTTAATAAAGCGTTATTTTTGAAAACCCAGATGAGAAGTTTTCAAAGGAGAGAGGAGAAGGCATGTCGCGGACAGGAGTTTCTCCGAAGGCTGCTCGGGGGCCACGTCTCGGTGTCCCACCGCATCCCCGCACCACCTCGGGCTCGGCCAGAGGGCAGAAGGGAACCGGTGCCAGCAGATTAAGGCAGATACCCGCTGCGCTCGCAACCACCCCAAACGCTGTGAAAGCTCCTTCAAAGGTCCCTGAACCTTTCCAAAGCAAACTCTGCCCCCCCTCCCCCGGTTTTGGTATGAAAGCAGGTGACACCAGGTGGTTTTAACTGAGTTTCTCTTTGAGGTTTGGTGCGGTTCCCAGAAGTCAAAAAAGCAAAACTTCAGGAGTGAAAAGCAAAGCAAAAGCACCAAGTTACGAAAAGGGCTGCTCGACCCTGAGCGAGACAAAGCCGGAGAGGGCCACAAAGCCACGGGGGAGGCACGGCCACGCCAGCAGCTCACGTGTTGGACAAACATCAGACAGCGAGCTTGGCAAAAACTCCATCCCCCAAATTAGGAGGGTTATCGGGGTAATACAACCCCCTGGGGAGAGATCTGCATGGAAAACAACAACCAAAAAAATTCATCTCCTTGCGTACTCTGTCAGTTTTAACCTCAAAGTGGCATGTGAGGAGGAAACCTTACTGAATCCGTGATCTTGCTCATACATTTCAGAGTAACTGAAATAAATAAGCTTAAATAAGCTCAAAGACAAAGGGAGACCTTCATCTCTCTCAAGTAAGTCTGAACCTCACCAGAACCCTAAACTGGGGAAGGAAAACTTCCTTTAGAGACTATAGAATTCAGTCTCTTGAATTACAGAAAAAGTAAATGCTGGGCTAAGAAAAAAGAAAAAAAAAAAAGGGGGGGGGGAGGGAAAAAAAAAAAAAAAAAAGGGTTTCCCATTTCTTCTTTATAGTAGCAGAATTTCAGCACATTCCTTTTAAGTAGACGCCTAAGACTCCAGAAGGGGTTAACAATAAATAACCTTGCTGAACACAGATTCCCCTTCTTTTCACATCTGAGTAATTCTTTTGTTTGTCCACTCTGGGAACAGAGGAGTTTTTAATAAAGCTGACTGTTGTTTAAAGCCACTGAGTTCTGGTGGTGCACACAGCATGGAGTAGTTTGCTTTGTGGCTACCTTTGGAGCATATCAGGATGAAAGTGTTATGTCCCCAAGCTGTAATTATGCGACTACTTTCTAGTGTTTCAAAAGGAGGGAGAGAGAAGGAAAAAAAAAACCAAACCAAAAAAACCCCGAAAACCCTAGCCGTGGTTCAATGTGTCATAAAAAGGAAACGAATGAGCAGTAATAAGACTTCAGCTAAAGTGTTAGACTTCTTAGCTGTCATGTTAACAAGGTCCTTTAAACCTTACAATAAAGTTTAAAGCTTGATTTATTCTAATATACTGAAATTGTTTAAAAAATAATTTGCATTATGACATGGAAATCTGTTCTGAGAAAAAAATTGAAAATGTCATTGACAAAGGAGGCTTAGGGAAAATAAGAGGTTGCACGGCATCTGGAAATCTGCTGTCGTGATTTTATTTAGTAAACAGGGTAAACCCCGCAATGTGTGAATGGTGTTCTGGCTTTAGATCCCTTCAAACTACTGAGAAACACCATTTTAATGGGGAAACTCAGAGGCTGGTATTGGAACATCACCCGGCCACATTTTACTTAAGCAAAAAGAAATGTTCAGCAGAGAACACATATATTATCAATTCTGAGAAAATGAAAACACTCAGGAAACAATCATTTCCATATTACAACAGAAAATTGGATTTTCTGGTGAATAATGAAAATGAGGCATCCCTCCCCCCGTCCTCCTCTCTCTCCAGTATTTGTTCTGTGCCCCTCACCTTGGTATCAATGTGCTAAGAGATGATTATTAAGTGCAACAAAGGCCACGGCTATGCACAGTTCTGGAAGATGTCCTAGCCTGTTTCAACTCGGCTATTTTTCCCTCCTCGCAGACTCTTCAAAGACAACGAAACCTTAGGTGAAATGAGAAGTGCATGAACTACACTAGCCTCGAACTTGCAAAAAAATAATTACTTGGATTAACGCAACATCATAAACGTTTATCCCTGTCTGCTAGGCCAGGAGAAACCCTTGGGAGAAGTCCTGTTTCTGGAGAAACACCATATCCCTCCACTCCTCCTCCACGCCGGCCCTACATGCTCATGGGCAGAGGATAACGAATTGTGACTAAAACCGCCTCAAGATGAATCCGTTTGTGAGAGACAGAAAGTGTGTCATGCAACGCTACTTTGGGAGAGATAATTAATACTGCACAAACAATCACTGGAAAAGCTAAACACATTATTTGAATGTTTTGAAGTAAATGGTAAAAGACAATGTTTAAATTAATTATTAATTAAAAATGAATGTTGCCATCTTTAAAGATTTTTTTTTCAAAGCACTTTGTGCACTGATTGAAAATGCTGCAATATCAAAGTATCCAGAGCCTCAGATTCCTTCGTGCCCCCTCCCCTCTGACAACACATTATGCAGGTGAGAAACTTTTTTGACATTAAATGCTAATTAGTTTCACAACTAATTACTATCGTGGTAGTAGGTTAATGTTTTTTCTACTTTTTGATTTAGACTTACTTTTGTAAATCCCTTATTCAAATTACTTTGAAGTAAAAGACTACAAATTACTTCTCTTTTTCATGCGTAATGTGAGCCGTGGCAAGCCAGCCAGTAATTTCACAGCCCGTTTTAAGGAACAGGCAGAAAAAGGCAGCGCGGCTCTCGCACCCGGTCGCTCGCGCAGGTAGCCAACCGCTCTGCAGAGTTTTTAGAGAACTACAAGACTTATAAACTCCGGCTTCCTCACCAGCCGCCAATTACCCGGGATGTAATTCGAGGGGAGGGGGGGAATTTACAGCTTTGCAAACTCACTCCGTCACCCCATAAATACCGAACACACCCATCGGGGCATCACACCCTTCCTGCCTTACCCTTTCCTGCGCCAGCTCGCTGCCCGGGTGCCATTCACGTTGAGCAGGGACAGCGATCCCCCATTACTTCATGTGGTTATATATGCACTCATTATACTGCCGTCTGTTGCTATAATGCTCCTATTAATTTTCCTTTTGATATTTTAAGAGCAATCTATAAATCACGCAGACCTTCACGTGTGCCATCGTTAATGCTAGCAAGACCGTTGTGCGTCGAGTGGGTATTTTTTTAGACCCGCCAAACAAGGCCATTTCCCAGCTCTGCCCCGCGGCCGTGCTTGTTGCGTGGACCGAAGGGGAGAGAAATCACGGCTTTTTTCTCCAAGAAATGCAGTTGCCTATGAGGTTTTCCAAGGTTTAAAGAAGAGAACTGCAAACAAGTTAACAATTTTATAGCTCTGTGTGCTTGTCAGGCTGGATTGAGCTGATTGGTTTTATGTAAAAGTTAGAAAACTGCCGTTCTAGGTTCTAACGAACCTAAGCATGTCCCCAGATGCAGATGTCTGCTCTTGCTGCTCCATCCACGAACCTCAGGAACCAACCGCGAAGGCGTCTGGAGCCACATGTCAGCAAAGACAACGCGTAGAACCACGCACGTGCCTCTGCCGTACTTACATTGCTTGCATAGGGGAACGTCCTGGACTACTGTCACTCCCGTTACTGTTCGTATGCTCCATTGCACCATTAAGCTCTTCCCTCATCGCGTTGGCTAAATTGCCCAGAGTGGGATTTCCCATGGAAGCAGTAGTGTATAGAGGTATACTGTTCTCAGCCATTGAAGCCTGTCAGGGACACAAACACATATATGAAGAGCCATGACTTAACATTTTTATACATTGCACAACACACTCACTTCTTCCAAAACATTCTCCACATTTACATTATTTGCAATTACTGTTTTTTTTAAATATTGTGCTGATAGGTATTACCCTGATTCCACCAAGGGAAATTTAACATCATTTACATCTGGGTTTAAGCATTCATAGCTGTATTAGCTTGTGAGAGGATGGAGCTTTCCATTCCCTATTTGGCATTACACCCCCTGGACAAAAATAAATTGTCCTTTTCCTATTTTCATTTTGCAAAATTATGTTTGGGGCATTGGGGTTTTTTGTGGCTTAGGTCTGAGTTTGGGTTTTGTTTTTTAATGAAACGGGGGAAAAAAATTCGAACTCGCTCAACTGATAACTCCTTTCTACCGGAGCAAATGGGCACCAAGCGGGAAGGCAGCGTTACCGAGTTTGGTTTTTCTCGTCACACAAGCACAAAGCTGCAGGTAGCACTAAATGGATCAGTCTGAGTTGCTGAACCAGTCCATGTGAAATTTTTTAAGCCTCTGCAACCCAGCCCTTACCTTAACTATTACAGATCTGACCGTTTTATTTTGATTTTTCCTTGTTCTAAAGAAATACCACGCAGAGGCACACTGGAGTTAACTTTCTAAATGGAAATCTTTGTAGGAAGAGAATGAACTGTTAAATATTTTCCTTCTGATTCCCACCGTTCTGCCTGCTAATATTTACTGTGTGTCAGCATTAGCTCATGTTGACGGCACAGTCCTGTGCCCGGCACGGCAGCAGTGGGAGCGCAGAAGCCCCGAGCCCCGGAGGAGCCCAGGGTTTGGCGGGGATGGGATGCACGGCTTTCCGAGGCAGTAGCGCCCAGGGACTCGAAGGACGTTTAACCGTTTCACCCATCCCAGCCGGATCCGGCTGACATCATCTGCAGCTCCCTGAGCCGTGTCAGCGCCGGAGAGCCACAGACGCTGGCTCGGCAGCGCTCGACCTGCTCCAGGGAGAGGTCAGCCGGCAGGCTCTGGGTCTGCATGATGCAAACCCTGCCCGTGGGAGGGGAATTCATGCAAACGTACTCCCCACCGAACGCTCTCGCCCGCTCCTAATTCGCGGGACAAAACTCCTTGCTTGTTGCCATCCGAGCCGGCAGAGTTGTTCTCAGGCAAGCACAGCCAGAGACCCGGTGGGGGGAGACGGGATGGGAAGAGGGGGCACGACCAGCCCTGACTGCAGCATCTTCAGGAGCACGGCCCCTTTTATCCTTCCTTACGTTGACCTCTCCGTGTGCAGCCCTATGTGTCACACGTGATTACAAAAGCTATTCTAACAGGGAGGATTATTTTTATCTTCTTGATTCAACAACCGGCAAACTCATTGTGATTAGGGGATGCAAAGAATGGTTCACATTTCCTGCACTTGGCAAAATAATGACTCAAGTTCTTCACCCATAGTGATAACTTGTAATTGCAGTAAAGCAATTTACTGGGGGAGAGGTGGGACACGAGGAGTATCTGCTATAAAGATAATAATAGGGGAGGGGGGAGTTTTGGGAGCCCCCGGTGACCCACTGGGAAAAGAGAGCTGGAGTCCCCGTACCTTCCACACACAGAGAGGGGAGAGAGCTGCTTCTTCTCCCTGGCCGCGAGGGAAAACAGATGGAGGAGACGTCAGAGGGGTCTGGGTGAAGGAGAGGGGCGGCTCTGCCACCCCACAGGAAAACAAAAACACACCCTGGCATCCCGGTGGCACATAGCAGCGTCCCCTGGCCTGCGGTGAGGCGGCCGCTGCGCTGACGGGGATGTGTAAAGAGCCTGTCTTTGCAGATGCCCGCAAAAGCTGGGGGAACATTGCTTGTTAATTATTAATTAGACTGAACGTGGGCACTGGCAGGTAAAGCAGCCCTGTGTCCCAGGAGGAAGGTTATGGCCCCAGCGGGGTCCGAGCTGCCCAGGCAGCTTCGCCCAAACCCCCGTACGGCACCCGAGCACCCGCCGGGATTTTGTCTCCAAAATCCAACGGTGGGGGGAGAGCAGCGAGGAACCCCCTGGTGTATTTTTAACCTAAAAGAGGACCTGTCTCAGTGCAATGAATATTGTTCATCCCCCGTTTATTATAGGGGCCACATGAGCGGTAGCAAATCTCTCCATCAATTCCGTTCACAAGATGCTGGGGGACGGGGGGGAGGCACGAGTACGTGCCACTTCCAGGAAAAGCGGGAAATGGAAACAGTTTTGGAGGTTATCACAAAAGACAAGAATGGATGGAGATGACGACAACGACACGTGTTTCAGAAATAAAACACGAACAGTTCCGTATGATAAGCATATTAATTGAAATTAGTCACATAGTTAACAATGTGAAGAAATGCAGGATCATTTCATTTTTGCCTTTCAGCCTCATGAATGTAAAATGTGCTTGTAATCTTAATACTATTCAAGAGACAAAGCAGTCTTTAAAAATCACACTTCACAAGACTCAAGGGAAAATAAGTTACTAATGAATGATATTTACAGTTGCTTCATTTAAACATGCTTTCATTTGCTTTTCAGAAGTTACCGCATAAACTCATATAATTAGAAGAAATGCAGAACATCGCTTTTCTCCTAATAATCTGTTTCTTGGTTCTGAAACGAGAAGTCTGCTAAACCCTTCCACAAAACACGGTTGCCCAACCAAATATCCACGGTCGTCAGTGAACTTCTCCAGAAGGGACCCTCAACAAACAGCCGGGGTGCAGCCACGCGCAGTGCTGCCTCCTGGATTAATTCACACTATATGGAACAGGCTTGAACCCACACAAACTGCACCCTCCCCACCCCCAATTCTGGGCACGGCAACGCATTTGTACCTTTGGTTCATACAGAGAAAGCTGACTTGACCTGGGTTTTTTGAGATAGACTCAGGAATTTGTAGAGCGGGGAAAAAAAATGCCAACCTGACATACAGCACATGAAAAAGGGCTGGAGACGCGCACACTTTTAGGCTGCGAGTTATTAATTGTGCACCGACACTTTGTGTATTTCTACATCGTCAAACCCAGAATTTTTGTCTTACAATTACAGTACAGTTTACACCAATAAAACCAATCTTTTTTTCTTTTTTTTTCCTACAGGATTTGCAACATTTATTTTTTACCAACAATAGGAAAATATGCAAAAAATAGCCCTTAAAAGAAAAGGGGGAAAAATGATCTGCTTTCTCTTTAAACCCATGAACAATAGAAGGTCACGTGCCGCAGTATCCTATCATTCAGCACATTAATAGCTGTGCTAGAGTAATTACACTTGTGGTATTTTTGCCTCAAGTGAAATTCTGAAATAAGAGGATGGAAATTATGATACTGCTGATAAATATTAATAAGTGAACTTTTAATTTTTTTGCCACAATATTCAAAATGCTAAGCATCTAGCTAATGCTGAAGCAGCCTGATATGTGTTTGCCTCCAGGGACTATGATGCTTTATGCACTTAAGAAAAAAGTTTAACGGAATTAAAATTTAATATCTAATTAGAGCAAGGCTAATATATTTTGAAATGAGTGGGGAAGACACACGCCTCTGTTGCATATTTGCTACAGTCATTAATCTTACCTGTAAAGCAGCATTGAGAGGTGTGCAGTAGGTGTGGCTGGTCTGTATGTTTTTAATAAGAGAAGGGTTACTGCATAAGAAAAACATAAAAAGGAGAGTTAAATGCAACCAACTTCTGTGCGAGCGTTTCAAGCATGTAATGCTTCCTCCCACACCAGAAAACTAAAGCTGAGACTGTTTTTCCACAAGTCCTCTTTCATTTCTCTTTTTCTATTTTTTTTTTTTTTTAATTTAAAGAAAATATCTGAGTTTTAGGCTGTGGTTATCATATTTGCCTTTACTAAATAAGGAACATCATTATCTCTCGACGTTACCTCGCCATGTGTTCTACTACCCTGCGTTAGTAGCACATCTTGGCATCTCTGCTCATTTTAGCTGTGTTCAGGAGAAATTCTCCAATATTCGTCGTGTCTGGGAGCCAGTTACCATGTAAAGGTCCATCGTGAGGAGGCTATGATCAAAAGCATCACGGGATATTTTAAATACTACTTCAGGCAAATTATTCTCCAAGTTGCTGGCAGCGGAGTCCCTTGCAACGGAGCAGGGGACTGGGATGAGAGAGGATTTGAGCGGCGTTATTTCCTGCCAGGCAAATGGCGAGTGGTCCCGGTGAGCGACTGTCCCCCAGCATCACCCCAAAAAGTCTGGGGTTGTGGGCATGAAGGCACTGTGGCAGGTACTGCTGCATCGCAGCAAAAAGGTATGGACCACACTGCCCTGAAGGTTGTTTTAATAAAAAAAATTCTGGTGTGTCATTTTGGACCCTTGCTTTAGTCATCTTAAGTTTACATGAGGGGCCGGATTTGAGGAAAATGAAGAGCAAGCACATCCGCGCTCTCTTTAGCGGACATCTACATATCACTGGAGGGAAAAAGAAATTAAAAAAAAAAAAAAATCATCAAACACAAATTGGATAAAAAGTGCCAATGCAGAAAATCTCCAAAAAGTTTTATCGCTCACTGGGCATATGTATTTTTGCTTTTCTCATGTGGGAATGAATCATAGTGAGAAGAGTCTTAACTGAGCCCCACCCACAGGGACCAGCAAGGATCAGTTGTCCTGGAGAGTTGGCCTTCGAGTAAAGGTCAAAGAAAATTGCTTGGGGAACCCCAGGAATACTGGTGCGTGGCTGTTGTAGACACAGGATGGCCTGCTGATTATCATCTTTACAGCTGGTCTCACCGCACTTTCCAACTTCAAAAAGTTAATTGAATGTTTCTGTCTTATAAGCACCTTACTCTATTTCTGATTAAGAGTTGCAAAACAAAGCATACAACTGAAAGCAAAGGAAAATATCAGAATTAAAACTTATCTGAAGCCTTTCCTGGCATATATCTCTCTTCCTGACAGGTCTACAGCAGCATAGCTGCACTAGCGTGGATAATTATTTTAGTCTACATTGCACTATGAACAAATGCTATAACAAACATGTCAAAGTAGAGGTATTATTACAGGCATTTGGATTATCAGAGTAGGACACACAAAATACACGTAACAACCAAAAATTTAGTTTCTTTAGCAGCAAAGGTGATGTCACTATTTCATGAAATGCAAGTCTACATGAGATGGGTAAATCATGCAAAGCAAAGCAACAGCAGAAAAAAAAAATTAAAGCAAGTAAAAGCTCTTACTGTGCAACAAGCTCGCCAAAGTTTTCATCAGGGCAGTATTTTCGAGGACGGCCTCGTTGAATATGACGGCCACGTTTAAACTCTTCATCATCAACAGTCCAAAAGGACCCAAACTCATCCTCTACTCTGATAAAGCACTTATGCAGTGAGAGGTTGGTGCGAATGGCACCCTGGGACAAGAGCAGCAGCAAAGGAGATGAAGTGGAAACAAAGGGACACGGGATCGGGGACAGAACAGACATCAAATACAGGGAAAAGGAAAAAGAAAATAAAATGCAATAAGCATAAGCAAATGGTTTGTGAGGGTTAATATGCATTGCCACCTAAAAGCTACTAGCATGTGATGCAACAAACACCAAGCAAGCAGGGTCAGGGTACTGGTGGGCATACAAACAGTAGTGATGAGATGTTTGTCTTGGTTTCCCTTAACTGAAACAATGCGAAACCACCTGTGGTTGGTCTAACACCAGCTAGCAGCCAAAAGCCTCTACGTTAAACTGTAAGCATGATCCAAGCTAGGCTAAGAAGTTCAAACATGGTGGACATACCCACTGATCTTTTGTGGCCTTCGTTTTTGGAACTCTAGTTCATCCACTGTCCATACTGCCCCTTTAACGTTTTCTACTCGCACAAAACACTTGTGAAGACTAAGATTATGACGCACTGCATTCTGCAGCAAGTATAAAAGAGAAAACATTCAAAAACTTTCTATGAGAAAATGCTCATCATTGTCCAAGAACAGCAGCACAGTCAGCTTGACAGTCCTCATTTTGCAACGTTAAGCCCCTTCCCCTCCCCACACCCGCTCGCTTTCCCCGGCTCTTTACAGCTTATTTTTCCAAAGACAGAATACATATAAAAGCTTAAACCCAAGATTAGAAATTCAAGTTATTCTTATCAATTATCCCCAGTGTGAATGAGAACAGCCATCATTTTAAGCATGCACGTTGTGTAATACAGCACATTTCATACAGAACACAAGAAGAACATTGCTTAGACATTTTCAAAACAAATATACACGCTCTGCGAAGAGAAACTTCTCCTCTCCTGGAAAAGAAAGCCGTTAGAAAGAACAGAAAGGATTTCATGGAAGTACAGACGGCTCGATTTAGCAGAGAGGCACCGGAGCTGGTGCTGCTGCAGTTTCCCACAGCTGGACTAATGCGAATCAGGTGCTGAACCTCCTTCCACACCCACGGCACGGACCGGCGGCTCGGGGGCTCAGCAGCCCCCCACCGGCCGGCACGGCACGGACTCCTGCCTCCACGGCTTGCTCTTATATGGAAGTTGGCTCCTATTTCTGGCAGACTACTGTACTGACTGATCTGAGCCTCTGCCAAGTGAAAACATGAGGAGGGCTCTCCGAAATAAGGTGATAATATCCCCACAGCTCATCGCCCAGAGGGACCCACGCTCGTGGCATCCAATGCTCAGATGTCCTCTCTGCAGCTCGGCGCCGGGGAAGGACGAGCCCCTCCGATGGGCTCGGACCTTTGCTGAAGCCGGACATAACGAGACACCTCACTACGTCATGGCAAGCTGTCGGCTCTTCTGTCCCCGTTCCCTCTGAAACGGTGCCGAGAGCCTTGTTATTCCTCAAACCGAGGGCCATGCTCCTTCCTCCGTTTTAGGAGTTTTCTGAACAAATACCCTACCTACAAAGCTACTCGGATTTGTACGTGGAGCTTGTCCCCAGCGCCGCTGAAAGGGGCTTGGTAAACAGGGAACACAGAAGAAGCCATTTGCTGAAAATATGCAGGCGAACAAACTCCATCCATCATCACTGGCACCATTGATTTAGTCAATCTGGTTGACTCGTTAGCAGGCACAATGCCAGCCAAACACATGGCCTGGGTCTAGGCAACCAAGAGACTACAATTTTTTTTCCTTCCGTTGTCGTCGTCGTCTTTTTTTTTTTTTTTTTTTTTTTAATGAACATCGGGTCTGGATGGTGAAAGGGAGCTCTAATCATGAATGTCTAAATCACTGTGCAAACAAAGGGTACGCGCGGTGCATTTGTCATGTAAATTAAGAGGCAGTGGTGTGTGTGTGCCTTGCAGGGGAAGGCTGAGACTCTTTTGCTACTTTTCCATTTCTCTGCAATCGTTAGTACAGTCCTGGGTACAGGGCAAGAGTCAGGGCTCGAAATGCCTTTGCTCAGCAGATGCTCGAGTGCAAACACATTTCCTCTGGCTGTAGGTGCCCAATCCCAGCTCTGGGGCAGGGTTCGGGCGCTTCGGCTTTTCCACACTGATCTACTTGTGAACTGGTGGAAAAATAAAACTTGAATACGCTTTTCCTCTCAGCAAGGCAGAAATCTAGCAGAAAGTCAACCTGTCCATCCGGGCTGCTTCTTTCTGCCCTTACTTTCTTCTGGTTTTATTTTTTAATGATTTTTTTTTTTTTGGGTTCCCTCCCACCTCCTCCAGATTTCCCGGGTTTTGAAATTTTTGGCAAAATCCCTGATTTTGAGGTGGAGGAAAAACATGCAAACGCCCCACACCTTACAGGCTAAAATCAGCTAGCTCAGCAACTGCTGGTGGGTGCCGCACTGGTGCAACCCGACACAGGGCTGCCGGCCCACATCTGGGTAACTCAGGCAGTTTCCTGTGAAAATGGGAACACTGTCAAGTCTGGAGCAAAATGTAAGAATAATAACGCTATTTCCCCCAGTGAAAGCTGATCTTGTAGCTCATACCAGCAGTTGATCAAATGCACACAGCAAAGTTCAGCGAAGTGAGTCCTCAGAGTTTGTAAACAGTCCCTAAATACACGGTTGAGCAGAAATATTTGTGTTGTTCTTTAAATAAATTTAATGCTGGAGAAATACTTTACAGTCTGTTCTTGTTCTCTTGAAGTCAATGTGGAATTGATGGTTAAGGCTGCCGGATCGGGCTCTTGCTGAATACGTTGAGACGGACAAGTTGAATATTGGCAAGATGTCCATGAAGCGTTGCCCTCGCTTTCTATTTTCCATGTGATCACTTATTTAAGCAGTTCATGGCAGAAAAAAATGGTTTTGTTTCCCCTGCCTCTGGATACTTGCTGTCTAACAGTTTTATTTGAACAATACCCCAACGTTTCGAAGCCACACCTGCAGCCTGTGCCTCATGGCTGCGACTCAGTGCCAGCAAATTACTCCAAAAAATAAAAGCAAACAGACATTGCCTCTGACCTGTCAGAACCAGTTCACAGTGCTCCCCCAGCAATCAGCTTAACAGAAAAATTAGGAGCTATTATTGTAAGATTATATATTTACCTTGTTAAAAATATTTGTATGCAAGCCACTTTTGCAGAAAAATTACCCTGAACGTGCTTGAATGTAGTAAATGAAAGGGTTTGTTATTTTAATAACTGCTCAGGCTCTGCTGTACTGCATTTTGGGAGAGAGGTTCATTTTTTAAAGGGCTTTATTCCTGCACTCTTCTGTGTTTTTTGAAGAGGGATCGGGGAAGCTTGCCCACACCAAACTCTGACCCTAAACTTGGGGAACTGACCCAAAGTCCCCCTAAAGCATTAGCTGAAGGTGAGCGCAAAGCAGCACGTATATATTCAAATTATTCTGATGCTGCAATTAGCCCCTTGTGCTTGTTCTGCGCCCCGTGGGCTTCCCGTCATGCCAATCCAGAGCTGCATTTTCATTCCTGATGTTCCTGCAGGCTGGCATCAATCTGAGCC